AAAAAAGAGGAAAATTTTAATTAAATCACTCCAAACTTTAATACCTAAAACAATCATTGCTAACATTTTGGTTTATATACTTTCCTATACTTTCATACATCCATGCATAAAATATGTATTCACAAATACAGAAAATTATACTATATCACATAAGTTTATATATTTTATATGTTAAAATACTATATTATACAAGCTGATCAGTAACATGTCAATACATATAAAACATTTTTAATGACTCTAAAACAGGAGGATATATCGTAATTTTTAAATTAATCTTTTGTTGATAGACATATGGTATTTCCAATGTTTTGTAATATGTCAGAACACTGTAATGAACTAGAAGCTGGGAGTTTAAATTTGTGTTTGGTCCCTTTGCTTGCCTGTAGTTACTAATTAACCTTGATGGGTGATGTTTTAGTGAAGCCTGTATCTTGACTTTTTTATGGTTTTGTTAGTTGGGCAAGTATTGAGGAAAACAGTTCATCGTGAAAGAACTCTTGTGAAAATGTACTAAAAGTGTACCCAGGGAGGAGGAGCTGGCAATAGAAACCTTGTCTTTTTCAGCCTGTGCTCCCAAAGGTTGGGAACAAAAGAATATTTGGGGTGAAGGGAGTCATAGAGAAGAGAGGGCGAGAGGAAGAGAGTTAACACAAAGTACTTGCTGTATACATAGTTTGATGGGGAGGGTGGGCCACAGGAAGAGAATCCTTAAAAGAACAAGTAGTGCTTTTTAAAGTAAAAGTTTTAAGTTCATTTTTTCTCTAAATTGCACAAATCAGAAGGGTCTAAAAAAAAGTGAAAATTTCCCATTCTCTCTGCTCTCCACTCTCAACTAGACTTTTCTATGCACAAATAATATATTTTATAGTAATAGAAGAATCATACTGTGTATGCTGTGTTATTTATTTATTTACCTAATCTAGTCATGGTCAGTGTATAGAAATCTGTCCATACTTTTACAGGGGATCTATTACTCATTGCACAAATTTCATGGGTAATTGAATTAGTTCCCTTTCTGATAGATATTGAGGTTGACATTTTTTGTTTTACCGTGATAAACAATGTTCCAGTAAATATTCTTGTACATAAAGCTGTTTTGTGCACTTTAATTAGTCTGTGCAGGACAAATTCCTAGAAGTAAATTGCTATGTCATAGGGCCAAGTACATTTTAAATTTTGATGAGACAGAGTCTCGCTTTGTTGCCCAGGCTAGAGTGAGTGCTGTGGCATCAGCCTAGCTCAAGCAACCTCAAACTCCTGGGCTCAAGAGATCTTCCTGCCTCAGCCTCCCGAGTGGCTGGGACTACAGGCATGCGCCACCATGGCCCGGCTAATTTTATATATTATATATATATATATATTCTTGGCCAATTAATTTCTTGCTATTTATAGTAGAGATGGGGTTCGGCTCTTGCTCAGGCTGGTTAGAACTCCTGACCTTGAGCAATCCGCCTGCCCTCAGCCTAGCCATCGTCCTTTGTTAAGATTAGTCAACCCTCATCTTAACATTTACTTATGCAGTAATAAGCCACACATGATGATTCAAGCCTATAATTCTAGCACTTGGAGAGGCTGAGGCCAAGGCCTTAGGATCTCTTGGTTTGAGAGCAGCTTAAGGAAGAATGAGACCCCATCTCTACAAAAAAATTAAAATTAGCCAGGTTGTGTTGGGTTGCCTGTAGTCCTAGCTACTTGAGAGGCTGAGGCAGGAGGGTCCCTTGGGCCCAAGAGTTTGAGGTTGCAGTAAGCTGTGCCGATATCACTGCACTCTATCCAGGGGCCTGAGGGGACCCTCTCCCCACACACACACACACACACACCACCACACACACAACACACACAAAACAAAGTAGTAGAGGAGGGAAATGATTCTTTAGGGGGTGAGAAGAACTAAAAGATGGGAGTTGTGATCTAAAGCATAATCTAAGCTCATAATCAGTAAATACCTGCATAGGTAGTATGTAGATCTTTAACAGTGATTTTACTTTGGTGATATATCTCCTCTGCAATTGGAGTAGGAGACCTGCCTCAGGGTCCCTTGTACTTATTTACTTACAGAATAGAGAGCAAATTAGGATACCTCTCAGCTAAGAGCTCTCTTATATGAAATCGTGCCATTACACACCACACTGCCCATCCCACAGGGTGTTTGTGACAATGAAATGAGAAAGTGTGCATACGAGTCCTTTGGAAACCATGAAAGCACTCTACAAATGCAGAGGATTATTGTAATCATTGCTGTCACTAATAGCAATATTGTTGTGACTAATATTGCTGTCACACATAGCAAAAGATCATGTTATGACTGATCTTAAATACATCATATTGGTCTTAACAAATCATTCCATAATCCCTAGCCGACTAAAGGTTCTTCCTTCTGCAACCTGGCAGAACCTATTGGACCGTCATCCTCGAGATGTGACAGATTATCAGGATGAGAGAGACAGAGCTCAGAGCCACTTCCTAACAGCCCAGGAGCTTAGAGCTTATTAATAGTTAGTTCCTCTGGTGCATGAGACAGAGGCACCTACAAAAACCAATCAGGGTGTCAAAAGAGGAATTGAGACCAGTTTGCACTCTCAATTCTGTCTTTGTGAAAGCTACTTTAGTTAGCACAAAGGACAAGCCCACCAAGATTTTGGGAGGGACAGGAACTGGGCCAGAACCTTGTGGCCCCCAGCAGGGCCAGATTCAGGTTTCTTCTCAAGTGATTCAGGAATCTTTGGTCCTTCCTCATGACCTGTTCTCATCCAGACTCAGTTGCCCATCCTCCTCCAATCAGAAATGTCTCTTGCCTTAGAAAGGGGACATTGTGATAAGGGCTGGGGCAGGGTGCCAATAGTCCTGTATTAAATATTGCTTTCTGTCACTTATTAACTGTATGATTCTGGTTAAGTTATTTCATCTTCCTGGTGCCTGTCTTTTCATCTATAAAATCAAGTCAATTCTATCTACCTTATAAGAATATTGTGAATATTCAAAGGACCAAAGGGCTATGCCACCCACCATGGCCACCTCAAGGGCCACCTCAGTCTTAGTAGGGGCTGGCAGGAAGCTGCTATGTGCCTGGAATCCCTGGTACAACTGCAGGGAAAGGCAAAGGCCTGTGAAAAGCTAGTAAGGAGAGGAAACAATAGTCAGAGGGTTTGGAGAACCGGGGGAGTCTGGATTTCTTGTGAAGTCTCAGGGGGCCGCATAGGGCCCAGAGAGAAGAGTACAGCAGGTGGGTTCCTGGCAATTGAAGGGCAGCTGGTGGGAATGTGGAAGAGGGAGGGCCTGGGAAATCTCGGGGAGGGAGGGTAGGGCAGTAATTCCCAGCTGCTCGGGTGGAGAACCAGTTTGGTCTGCTGTTTAGCTTTTGTGAGCTGCTCATTAGCATTTGAAGGAAGTGCCTGCAGAATACACCCCGAGTCTTTGGAGCCCTGCGGTGCGTGCAGGGCTGGAGGTTGGGGGTGGGAGTGAAAATGGCTCTCACTTCAGCCCTATTCCCAAATCCAGATCCACCACCAATTCAGGACTCATAGAAACAAGAGACTGAATCTCTGTTCCTCTCCCAGCTAAAGCAAAATTTGTTCTATTTACAAAATAGAACAAATCTTATCTACTTCTCAAGTTCCAGCTACTTCTATCTATTTGTCCAATAACAAAGCATAATGATTTTGGAAAAAAATTTGTTATAGTAAAAATAGTAACATGATGAATTATTAATTCAACCTTCACTGTATCTTACGAAATAGAAGATATTATCTTGTCGGAAATCAGATGATTTAGAAGTCGTTTCAGAAAACAGACACCAACTTCTTTGTGGTGCAGGCATTGCTTGTGTGTAACACTAAATGCATGTGTTACCAGATGATTCCCTAAATTTTCTGCACACTAAGAAATTACTAGGTGTTTATTTCTTGATGGTGGGCGGTGTGGAATGAGGCCAATTTTTGCCTTTAGAGCCCAATTGTTTAATTCTCAAGGAATCACAACCAGGCACTGCATGTAAAACTGTCTTATCCACCTCATCCGGGAGGTAGAAAGACGTCCTTGGAAGAGTATAGAATTTAAAGCACACAGAATCTCTGCTCCGTTTCTGCG